CGTATTCATGGATGTACCACCTAGGTTAGAAGAGTTGGTGAAATTTGGCAAGGTTTGCAGACTAAGGAAGTCCTTGTACGACAGGATAAAGCAATTTCCTAGAGCGTGGTGTGATAGATTCACAAGATCAGTTCTTAAACAAGGGTTCATGCAATGTCTAGCAGACCACACACTATTTATAAAGAGGATAGACTCTGGTAAAATGGCTATTCCTATCGTATATGTTAATGATATTATTATGACTGGGGATTATAAGGTTGAATTGGACAGATTGAAGGATCATCTAGCAAGAGAGTTTGAGATCAAGGAGCTAGGTGAGTTGAAGTACTTCCTGGAATGGAAGTGGCAAGATCTAAGAAAGGCACTTTTATTTCACAAAGAAAATGTCCTAGACCTTCTAAGTGAAACTGGAATGCTTGGGTGCAAGCCTATGGACATTCCTATGGATATATCAAAGAAGTTATGCAGTGAGAATGAAAGTCCACCAATTGGTAAGTGTGATGAGTCAATTCATGAATGACCCAACTGAGGAACATCTAACTGCAGTCTAGATGTTGGCTGGGCTGAAAGCATCTTAGACAGTATGTCAACTACTGGTAATTGTACTTATGTATGGGGTAACTTAGTCACCTAGAGGAGCAAAAAAACAATCAGTGGTTTCTAGAAGTAGTGCAGAGTCTGAACTCAGGGCTTTAACACAAGGAATCTGTGAAGGATTATGGTTAAGAAGATTGATGAATGAGCTCAAACATGGATAAGCACCTCTCTACACAAGGCGGAAAGGAACCACGCAGGCATCATGGAATATCCGGTCAGGATGCTTCGCACGGAAAAGTGGAGAACTTAGCTGAAAAGGTTGAGCGCGGAAAAGTGGAGAAGTTAGCGGAAAAGGTTGAGCGCAGAAAAGTGGAGAAACTCGCGGAAAAGGTAGAACGTGACTGGGAGAAAGAGTGGAGGATCTGGTTGGACCAGTTGCGCACCGATCTGCATAAACAACGTCGCAAGCGAGGTCAATCGAGGACAGTTCGTCTATGTCAGAATTCTGCAAGCAAGGTATCACCATCATCGCAATCCGCTCTTCAAATTGCGCAGATTTCAATGCGTCCACGGAGCTCGTCGCTACTTGATTCTCTGAGTTCGCAAGCTTCGACTTAGGCGAAAACAGTTGCTACTAGCCCTCCGCGGTTAAACGAGCATAACCAATGGTCATCGCCAGTCAATTCCCACCCTGCGCAAGACTTGTTTATTGATATGCCAATGTCATTGCAAATTGTGTCAAAGGTTTCCGAGTCGGCTCAAGTTTCTACGCAGGGGATTTCATTGACGACACCAAATCTTGAGTGGAATCTGACTGAACCCTCAGTTCCGGAATCAGATTCAGACAAGGATACTAATCAATCGGGATATTCACCAGATAATCTGGAAGAGTCCGAACCGCTCAAACCTAATACTGCTTACATTCAAGAAGGAATTCGTACCTACCACACTGACCCTATCTTGGAACTGAACAACATTATCAAAGGGGCTGATGAGGAGGGTCTGTATCACTCACTTATCCTTACCTATGAAGGTCAGAGGGAAATGCCAATAGATTGTATACCTGTTCAAGATGGAAGTGTAGGTTTTGATTACAGGTTACATATGGCAAGTACTGGTCCAAGGCTCAAGATAATCAGGAAAAGAGATATTGTTGAAAGGCAGAACCTGTTGTTGATTTTTGATGTTGAAGGGTGCAAATTGGTACTTTCTGCCAAATATGCAGTAATCAGCGCATCTCTGCATTCTCCCATGGATCTTAGTCACTTCTTCCTTTATTTGGTGGTGCAGGGGTATAAGTGTAACATAATGGAAAGTGGTGTGTGTGCTAGCTATCGAGGGTGTCTGATGGGATTCTCTCCCAGAAACAAGGCTACAGATTTACGGAGATCCGATACAGTTGAAGAATCTTACATTGGAAAATCAGTTCGTATGAACATAATTGATGCTTATAATGATTACAGTCAACTAAGAGTGTCCTTGCAACAATCATTATGCTTTGTAACTGATGTTTCATCTATTCAAGAACGTTTTCTTTCAGAACACATGATTGTCAAGCTATCATTGAACTCATCGAATTCTGGATTGAGAAGGGTTGATGAGTTTACTCTTAACAGCATAGTGGAAGGAAAATTTCAAAAAATAAAGGAATTTGATGCGGTCTTCATTAGTGATACAAAATATTTGTTCCTTGAGCTTCCTTTGCTGAAAATAAACTAGAGAGCTTTGCAAAAAGTATGCAAGTGGATGGTGGATGGAATCAGAAGACTACTCTAACAACACACGCATGGCTAAGTGGAGAACTAAAGCCAATTGATTTGAAAGGGGAGGTTCCAGTCCCGCATGAGAAATACATTGATAAGGTTTACTATATATGGTTTGATACAACAATTGGGTATGTGTCAATCATTTCATGTTGGAGATGAATGGGAAAAAGGGTGGAAGAATTCTAAGAATGTGGATTTCTACCAATGTTTGGGCAAGGAAAAAGGTGTTGTTTCATACAGTAATACTCCCAGCTACACTACTGGGAACGCAGGAAAACTGGACTGTTATGAAAACTATCTACACAGAATACTTGAACTATGAAGCAGGGAATTGTTCAAAAAGAAAAGGTGTTGGAGTCATTGGAAATGAGGCAAAATTAAATAGTGAATCACTAAGTAATCTCAGAAACTTCATCAATCGTGCCTTGAGTTTTATGGCAAAGGATTCAGCTACTGGATATGGTTTCCTCATTCTTGATACTGAAGGAAAATGGAATGTCCGAACCATGATGCATTCTCAACAGTGTGGTACAGAAAACCTCTATGAAGTACCTAGATCTCTAGGTATCCAATTCCAGGAGTGGCAGCCAGTTATTTCTTCTATTATTGAGGAACTGGCCGATGAGAAGGGTTCTGTAGGGGTTGTAGCACTTGGTGCTGGCCAGGTTTTAGTGAAGCATCATGTAACCATGCCCTTGCCTCAGCTGCTTGCTAGGGTAAAAGTGATGAAAATGGTTCAGTTCATGAAGTTGAGGGTCCTGAAATTTGGACGATACTGGGAAGGAAGAGGCGCAAAGATGAGGAAGAAGCTGTTAGTCAGGACTGTCTCCAATGACCCACCTTGAGGACAAGGTGGTTGTCAAAGGGGGAGTAATGTTAGGGACCTACATAGAATAATAAGAAATAAGAAGAGTATTAGAGTTGGTATCAATAGATGTAGATGGCAGAATAGATGGAGGTTGGATTTATTTGTTGGGTCTGGGACTTGGAGAGTTTAGCACTCTTAAACTGCCTTTGTCTTTCTCTCTCTATTTTCTGTAATACGAACCCTTTCAGTTGTACGCACATCTCTATTCTTCATCTTGTTTCTTGAATTTCATTGTGAATTAGCTAGATACTTAGCAATTGTGTTATCTATCACCTTTATTGATGACTCTTTTTATATAGGATCAGAGTACAGGACAGATGATTGGAGCAGGATTTGAATCTAAGGTCTATACTACTTTCAGACTTCCTCTTCAGTTGCTTACCAAAAAGAACGTTCAAAGTTATTTGGCATTTTCAAAAAGTTCTGCAATGAAATGAAAAATCAGTTTGATCATACCATTCGTGTTCTACGTAGTGATAACGCCAAGGAATATTTGTCAACAAATCTCAATGAATATATGTCTACTCAAGGGATTGCCGAAAGAAAACATCGTCATATCGTTGAAACAGCGCGCACACTACTGGTTCATGCCAATGCCCCACTAAAATTCTGGGGAGATGTTCTCACAGTTGTTCATTTGATCAATCGAATGCCATTTTCTACATTGGATAACAAAGTACCGCACTCTTTCTTGTTCCCAAAGGAACTCATTTTCCTTGTTCCTCCCAAAGTCTTTGGTTCTACTTGTTTCGTGCAGGATCTATCCTTTGATCTTGATAAATTATCTCCATGAGCAATCAAGAGCATATTCCTTCGCTACTCTAGAGTCCAAAAAGGGTACCGTTTGCTATTCACCTTCTACTCGTCGTTTCTATACTTTTGTAGATGTCAATTTCTTTGAGGATCAACCGTATTTCACTTGACCAGTGGAAGTTGAATCTGTCTCTCAGGTCTTACACATTCTTCATCTTACTCCATTATCACCTCTCAATCCTCCATTGTCTTCTCCCATACCTCTCATTACTTATCAGTGTCGACCGCGGTCCGCGGTCCCTAATAATGACTCTGCTCATTCATCTCTTGTTCCAGCTCCTTTACCTACTCTGGACCAACCAGAGGCACTGACCCAACCTAATCTTCCAATTGCAACTGGAAAAGGTATACGTTTCCAATCGGAACCCGCATCCTATTTACAATTGTCTAAGTTATCATCGTCTATATCTTTCCCATTGTGCTTTTGTGTCTTCCATCTCTTCTGTTTCCATTCCTAAAACTGTCCAGGAAGCTCTCGCACATGTAGGATGGTGCCAAGCTATGCTTGATGAGATGGCTGCCCTGGAGATTAATCGTACTAGGTCTCTGTTCCCTTGCCCATGGGAAATCTACTGTTGGTTGTCATTGGGTGCTTACAATCAAAGGTGATTGTGAATGTTCACAGGTGACTGAGATAGATCCATCTCTCTAGGTGGTCATCCCATACAATGCAAACTTAATCATATTAGAGAATCAACCGCTCTGACACCATGTAAATTGGAAGAAATAGAGAAAGGTTTCTGTATTCGGATTTTGTTTTTGATTCCATTCAAGAAGAAGATTACAATATATACAGCTAGAGATTCAACCTAAGTAGGAATATAAGGAAGGAATCCTACGAATCACAGTCTCCTAAGAATAAGGGTTCTTTAAAGAGATCTCTAAGATATTGCCTAATAAATATATTACTAGTGAATTAAAGATATGCAATAATAACTAATAAGTAAAATAATCTAAACTATTGAACTTAATCTAAAATTAAATGCCTAAATTTGTGAAGGAAATATGATCCTTACCTCGTTCGAAAGAGAGTTTGAATTGCAATGGTTGATAGAGCATATTTGGTTGGTTTGCCCAGATTCAGAACTGATGAAATCAAACAATACTCACATGATAAGATATTTAGTAGGGGTGAATTCGAGTTTTTTGGTTCGATTTTGACCAAAAATCAAATACGGAATCAAAGTAGAAAGTTCGGCTCGGTTTCGGTTCAGTTTTACATTTCAAAACTTGAAACCACGATTTGATTGGTTCGGTTTGGTTCGGTTCGGTTTCTGTTTTTCGATTTCCTTACTAAAAAATTATCATTTGATTTAAAATGTTTTGATAGTTTGAACTTGGAAGGATCAAACATATTACATAAAAAATGCAAGCATACTACAACAAATAAAATAATAAAAGAGAAGAAGTAAATATGTCTTGAATTATATGAGTATGCGGGAGAGATAAAAGTGTATATTCTTAATTTACATTGTTTGTGAGTTGTGATTAGTTTGAAAAAAAAATCATGAATAAATACATTCCATGTGATATAGTTGAGATGATTTTTTTTTTGTTATATCAATATAAAAACTTTAAGTTACATATAAATAAAAGTTAATTACTAGTAATAATCGGTAAAATATACGAAATATCATCATCATGCAACAAATTGCAACATACATACCTAAAAGACATAATAGATCAATATAGCTACAATATTATAAGCAATGAATTTGTAAATGTGTTTGTTGGACAGAATAATCTATTTGAGGTTATTGGACAGGATCGCCTATTTTAGGCGCATAGTAATGGTAATTAATTGTAGAATTATCTCTTGTCTTGATTAGAATTGTATTTAAGGTAGATTATCTTTTTGATATTGTAGATCCTTTTATTCTAGGGAATCAATTAATTCCCAGGATTTCCATACCTATTTAAGTTCGGTAAATGAGAAGAAAATCGATTCCGCCTATTTTCTTCTTTTATGGTATCAGAGCCGTATTGTAGCTAAATTGCTGCGAGAACCATGTTTCAAGTTTCTTCTCTTCCGCCAATTCAACCCCAATCGGCTTGAACTGATTGGGGTTGAATTGTGTTGATTTGTCTGTGGTTGAGCCACGATAGCAGGGGCTTTTCTACGGCGCTGATAATGATAGGAAAATGGTACAATAGGAGTAGGATTATTCGGTATGGGCTTAGGTGAGATTGTGAACATATCTGACGAGGGAGCCTGACCGAGGTTGAATCGGATGATGCTGACTGAGCAGGAGTAGTATCTATGGACAAATCAGAAGGAGAAAACAAGTCTTCGTAGGAAAAACGACTTGGGAATGTGGTGGCAAGAGGGAAGACCGACTCATTAAATATAACATCACGAGAGACATAAATTTTTTGAGTTTTAAGGTCAAGACATTTGTATGCATCTTTCTGGGTACAATAACCTAAGAAAACACATGGGTGAGACCGAGGAGCAAGATTATGAGACGCGTATGGACGAAGCCAAGGAAAACACAGACAACCAAAGGTTCGAAGTTTAGAATAATTTGGCTTGATTTTGTGAAGGAGCTCATAAGGCGACATTATGGAGAGCTGGAGTGGGGTGCCTATTGATTAAATAGACTGCTGTTTGGAGAGCATATGACCAATATTTTGTGGGTAGAGAGGCGTGATAGAGAAGAGTGATACCGGTTTCAACTATGTAGCGATGACACCTTTCAGCGAAGCCGTTGCGTTGAGGTGTGTGGGGAGGGGAGACTAAATGAGTGATCCCTTGAGATTGGAGATGTGTGCCCAGTGAAATATATTCACCACCACCATCCGAATGAACGACTTTAATTTTCCTGTTAAAGTATCGTTCAACAAGAAGCTGAAACTGTTGAAAGGTAGGAAGCACATCAGACTTACGTTTTAAAGGATATAATCAGACATATTTAGTGTAATGATCAACAAAAATTACATAATAACGAAAACCATCACAAGAAATAATAGGCGAAGGTCCCCACACATCGGTGAATAAAATATCTAAAGGACCATTACTAGACAAAGAGGAAGTAGAAAAAGGAAGTCTGTGACTTTTATTACAAGCACATGATTGACAAATAGAGTTATGTTGCATAGATGACAAGACAGATAATCCTAAGGACTGAATGACTTGCTTGGTAATTCGTAAAGCGGGGTGACCAAGTCGACAATGCCAATAAAAAACAGAAGATCTAATACTGGAATTTAATTGCGGCGACTCCGAAGAAGGAAGGCAGTAAACATCCCCTTTATTCAAACCTCGGCACAAAATTGTCCCTGTGTTGCGATCCTTCATCAAACAAAAATAAGGGTGAAATTCAATGAGTACATTATTGTCAAGGCAAAGTTTGGCTACAGGTAGTAAAGTAGAATGAACATGAGGGACGAGTAAGGTGTTAGGCAGGGATAAAGTGGGTACATTTGCTTGTGGCTGATATCTTGAATAGCAAGCGGTTGCGGTGTGCCCTGGCTTCATGCAAATTTTACACTCAACATAATCCCCGTTAGATTTTGGGTTGTTTCTGCGCCCTTTACCTCTAGATAGAGTCTCCCTTTTTCGCGGTGACCGGACCAGGGGTGGATTGCTGATAGAGTCTCCCTTTTTCGCAGGACACTAGATATTCATGAAGGTCTTCAAAGGTCCATTTATCTCGGCTACCACGCAGAAATCCGGCGCATTCTGGAAATTCATCCTGGATTCCATTGATGACATACAGTTTGAAGTTGTTTGGGGAAACTTCCTGGTCAAGTTTGCGCAATTCGTTGGCCAGAGAATTGAGATGGTGCAGAAACTCCGACATCGGTTGCTCCGGTTTCTTTCGGGCATGTTGGAGCCATTCAGTGAGGTTAAGAAGCCGGGTTGGAGAAGAGTTGGCATAGATGTTCTCCAAAGTGACCCAAATGTCACGGCAGGTACGGGCGGCGGAAACAGAGGAGAGAACTGCTGGACTGAACGATGTAATCATTGTCTGTTGGAGAAGAGCATCTTGATCGCACCAACGAAGAGTGATGAGATCGGTAGCAGAAAGATCTATTGATCCATCAAGAAGGCCCTGAAGACGCAGGCCGCGAAAGAGACCATGGACTTGGTGCTGCCATCAAATTTTACTGGAAAATTCGCGGCAGTAGAATAAAGAGGCTGTCCTTCAGAAAGTCAGGGAAAGCAGGAGGGGCAGTCTTTTTTCCGTCGTTGGCCATGGAGGATCGAGACTAGTAAAAGCTCAGAAGCTCCGATACCATATAAGAGAGTGAGAAGAGATACTTTTATTGATTGTAGAATGGTTACATATATACAGTTTATGAACAGCTAATTAAGGTAACTAAATATTTAGTATAATTACAAATGATATCTTGAATATAATCTGCAGAATATTTGGTAATAAGAACAGATTTACTTTCCTTCTATAAATCTACAGAATTAATAGTTACAAGGAAAGATTTACTTTCCTTCTACAGTTATGACCCAAGCTCGGGAAAGATATTAGTTGGTATGGATATCACATTTTTTGGAAACAAACCATTTTTTGATCAAACTTCTCTTCAGGGGGAGAAAGAAATAGGAGACCAATTTTGGGAAAATATTGTGTTACTGATTCCTCTTACAAATTATGATAATCAAAGTAGGGCAGCTGATGTTGAACCTTTCATACCCATTATTTCTACACCTCACAAAGGATCTGAAATAATAAATAATGTGGATCCCACATCTGAACTACATGTTTACTCGAGAAGAAAAAAGAAGCAAGGTAGTGATTCAGTACCAACTCAAGTCAACCTACCGTTTGACCAAAGTGTTGTTCCAGGTAACATCATTCCCACAATTTCTATTCCACATTTCCTTGATCCTATTCTTGAGACTGAGACTGATTCCCATGACCATAATTCACCTCCTGATCCGAACCTTAATGAACCTATAACACTTAGGAAAGGAGTTCATGAGTGCACCAAACATTTTATAAACTGTTATGTGTCATGTCACCAATTATCTCCTAGCTATAGGGCCTTTACCACTAGCATAACCGATGATGAAATTCCGAGGACGATACAAGAAGCACTAAGCATTCCAAAGTGGAGAGAAGTTGTCCTAGAAGAAATGCGAGCTTTGAAAAAAATGAAACGTGGGAGTTAACAAATCTGCCAAAAGGAAAGCATCTTGTAGGCACCAAATGGGTGTTCACGATCAAGTATAATTCGGATGGATCAATAGAGACGTACAAAGCTAGACTCGTAGCTAGAGGATTCACTCAAACATACGGTCTAGACTATGAGGAGACATTTGCCCCCGGTTGCTAAACTCAACACAGTAAGAGTCTTGTTGTCACTTGTTGCTAACCTCGACTGGCCTCTTCTACAATTTGATGTGAAGAATGCCTTCCTTAATGGAGAGTTAGAAGAAGTTTTTATGCAAGTACCTCCGGGTTTGTGGATGAATATGTGGCAGGAAATCTTTATACGGCTTAAAACAGTCACCTCGCGCTTGGTTTGAAAGGTTTACAAGGGCTGTAAAGGAAAAAGGATTTCGTCAAGCTCACGCTGATCATACATTGTTCTACAAACACACGGTCGAAGGGAAAATTGCTATCTTAATTGTGTATGTAGATGATATTATATTGACAGGAGATGATGTAGAATGACTGGAGAAACTGAAGCTATTTCTAGCTAGGCAATTTGAAATTAAAAATTTGGGAAACCTCAAGTTCTTTCTCGGGATGGAAGTAGCTAGATCAAAGAAGGGAATTGCTCTGTCTCAGCGAAAGTATGTGCTCGATTTACTCAAGGAAACAGGTTTTCTTGGATGTAAACCTGCTTCCACTCCTATTGACCCTAACCATAAGTTAGGAAGGTCCGAGGACGGAGCTGTTGTTGATAAGCCTTGGTATCTAAAGTTAGTGGGAAAACACATCTATCTAGCTCACACACGACCTGATATAGCCTTTGCAGTGAGTTTACTCACTCAATTTATGCATAATCCGGCTGAAGAACATCTGGAAGCTGTCTACATAATCCTACACTATCGCAAGGGAAGTCCCTGTAAAGGTATTCTATTAAAACAAAATCACAGTAGGAAGATTGAGGTCTTCACA